CGTTTATCTTCGGGGATAATAAAACATTTTAATCTGCAAGTTTTTTTACAAGGGTCCATCATTTGGGCAGCTGGTTTTATTACCCCTTTTGTAGTAACATATTCTTTTCCCTCATCTTTGTTTTTTTTCTAATATTTCTTTTCCACAACTCTGGTCTATTTCTTTTCCTTCGAGGTTTATTAGTTTCTTCTGGATGTTCCTCCATTCCAACTAACTCATTTTTCCTACCTTTTCCATTAGATTCTTCTTCGGAAGAACTAGTACTAGGGAGGTATTCAGATTCGTCTGGAGAAAAATCACTGAAGCTCTCATCTCCCCTCTTCTTTTCAACATCATTAAAATTTTCAATGTTTTCTTCTGATGTTTCAGATCCTAAAAAAAAATGTTTAATAATGTTATTAGGTACCTAATATTAATAAACTAACCTAATAATTCTTCCTCAACGATTTCTTTCATATCCACATCATGTCCAGGCATTGAACTCTGATCGATCTTCCCTTGAACATCTTCTTCAACCTCCGATTTTTTTCTTTCTTCAGACTGGTTTAAATTATTATTTAAAGATTGCACTTGCGAATCTAGAAGTTAAAAAATCTACATGTTGCAATTATTCCCTAATATTTTTATCACGTAAGCGGGCTTATTGTCAAAATAAATGATTCAAATCAATAATGATTCCGTGAAATATTTTTTTTATACCTCTACAAGGTATCTAAAATGCTATAATTCAGTAGATCATTATTTTTTAACATTAACTTCCTAATGTTTTTTTAATGCCCAACCAATTCTGTTGCCAAACCCGAACTTCAATTTTCGTAACTTACTTAAAAAGAAACAAAAAAAAATAATAAACAAGAATAAACGTGTTGTTGCCGTTTAAGAACAGATGCGATTGCGTTCTTTAACAAAAAATAAGCAGAATACATTTTGAGACACTACCTTATTTGTTACAGGATTATTAAAAAAAAAAATATTATAACCTAACTTTTTGTGAATTAATTTTAAGTAGAAAATAGGGAAACACATAAAACGAAATTAAAAGCATCTACTTACTTTCAACTTTGGGTTGTATTGTGAGCACTAAATCTACCATTTTAGCACCCCTGGACATGGTTTTGCACTTGATTGTCACAATTTCCGGTGTATATCTGTGAACGTCAACAACAAAACTGATTCTAAATATTTACTGCAATAAATGGGTAACTTTAAATGTTTACCTTAGTCATCGTAATTCGAGCCTTTAAATAAAGATAAAAACTAGATATCTTTAGTTACCAATTAAAAACATAAAAAGACATCTTTAATATTTTGAGCAAAAAATGGGTATCTCAAGTTGTCTACTTTTAACATTTATATTAAGCTTTAAAATTTCCTTAGAAACTCGCTACCTCTAGTTAGCCATTATTAACATTGAAAGAAGTCTACATATTTATATACAAGAAGCAGGTAGCTTTAGTTGTCTACTTTTATTTTAAAAAAAGATCAGGACATTTTGAAAAAGTTATGGGTATCTCTAGTTATCTATTTATAGCACAAGAAGAAGTATACAGTTTTTCTTTATCTACTTTTCACAATTTCAAATGAATTTTGTCAGTTTAGAATAACTAGTTATCCAGTTTTTGCATTAGGTTCTGGTTAATACTGACTTCATGAAAACGTAGATAACTCAAAATCGCGAAATTTTGAGTTACCTAATTTTTGCATTCAGCCGACGATATTTTTTATTATTTGTAAATAAAGTGTTTGTTACTTCGTTTATCTTATTCAGGTAGATTTATTGTTTAATAATAGGTTAATAAATAAAATTTTCATAGATTTTACATTTTTGTTTGTATACATTTATTATAATCCCTGAAATAATGTGATAAATCCATAAAAAAAAAACAGTTTATTAAATTATTAAGTATTTAGTCTTACAAAATGAGTTCTTTTAATTTACACAGAAATGTAAAAGGTTTATGTAAGCTATACTTTCCTTCTCATAAATATGATTGAGGATTTTAGAAACACTGTTGGGCAATCCTAAATATACCTTCAGTTTATTTTCATTTATTTTGAGAGTTCAATGGTCTTGAATAACCTGCTCATTATTATTAAATCCCTCTGAATCAAATATTAAAGATGTTTCTTCTGATTCAGACAAAACTTTACTATCTTTAAAACTTTAAGGAGGTTCCGAAGGAGGGTTTTAGGTTATACACCTTCGAACTTATAGTAGGCCCATTTTAAATTTCATGAAGGGGGCAATGTCACAAATTACTACTGCATCTTGAAGATCCGGTGTATTTTTATTAAATAGAGATAAAAACGCCTCTAGTAGGTTATTTTCCAGTCAACTTTTTAGAAACATTTTTTCTGTTTTTGGTAGAATCAGTGAGGTGTGGTGAATAACAAGAACTTTGCAGACATTTGTGTGGTACTACCCATTTATATGTAAAGGTATCTAAAAAAAAGAAGAAAAAACATCGTTACTACAATGGTAGATAATTGAAGTCTAATAAATTACAATAAAACATTTTCATTTTAATAAAGAGTATAGATACTATACAAACCTTAAAATAATTTAGCTGTTGCTTGAAGCTTTTCTGTGTAATAATAATAATAATAATAACTTCCTTCTTTTCATATTTTTGGCAACACTAATAAATATATTTAATAATAAATGTAAATCATTATCACATCTTGGGAGGAAACATTTTTTCATACTCCTCATATTATTTTATAAAAATGAAAATTAAATATATCTATTGATATTATTGACACAAAATTACAAGATTTCAGGTTAAAAATCGATTCTCGGCACCTAAAGATGAAGCGAGTGACACTGACATTTAAGATCGATATATATCCCTTCTCGATATCCGAGATAGGAATCGCAAAATCTTTCTCGTTACAACACGTCTCGAGTACGAAACATGAGAATCCCACTGCTGACCTTGACTTCAGTTTTTGAGAATCTATTAGGCATTCCAACGACCTGTCAAACAATAGGTGCCAGTGGGAAATTCTTGTATATTTAAGGGGGTAGCGACATAGTCTTGCAACTTGGACGCTATTTTTATTCGAAGTAGTACTCGCCAAGCCTGCCAATTTATGAATAAATGTATAGGTGGGTTTTTTAAATATTATTTTTATTGTGTTTGACATAAAATATTTAAATGTAATCCATTATTCCTGATTTTACGTAAAGTAGATAGAATACACCATAATGTCGCCACCCTTAGATACACCAAACCTGCCCACTGGTAATTCATTTGTTTGGAATGCCTAATTGATTCTGGATTCTAAAATAATTTATCTTTTAGATCTTCCAGAAATAATCGATTAAAAAGCACTAAAGAATCGATATACATAAGATCGATTCAAGATAATGTTCGATTTGATTTTCGATTCTCAAGTCAATGTAACTGTTAAAAATCTGAATTTACCGCGAAATTAAATATAAAATATGTCAATTTGGCGCCAAACGTATGTAATAAATGTAATAAAAATGTGAAAAAGTGCTACGATGGAAATAATCTATCAAAATGAGTTACTATTTAAGGGACTTAATCTCAGAATGTAAACAAAAAATAGAATAAGCTATACACACACAGACACGATAAAATTTATCCAATTCTGTTCGAAGTTGGGCTGCCCGCTTCCAGTTTCGAGTTTAGAAATGGTTTTCTTTATTTATTTAAAACACAGGAACTATTAAAATAACTAGATGACTAATTATTATTCACGTCTTATGATTATGAATCCATCTAAAAATCCCCGAAGTTGTGTAGTTTTTAGGCTTGATGGTTGGTAGCGCTCACAATATATTTCTGTAACTTAGACAGTTTATGCAACGTTGCTGTTTATTATAATAAAGTATTATTAATTTACATTTCTTATTTTCGAGGTTGTTTAAAAATGTATTTTAAATTCCAAGAACTACAAATAAATAGGAAACAGCATTACAATAATAAATATTTATTTACAAGTTTTACAAGTTTTGCTTAAACGATAAAAACATTTTATTACAACAACAATAATATGATTAATTAGGTATAATTAAATACATCATTTAATAATATTTATATCACTGTGCACAAATTCTATACATTTCTAAATAATTATATAAAAAAATTGTCTTAAATAACAAACGATTTTTTTTTATTTGGAAAATTTTATGTTTAAAAATTGATTAACATTTTTTAGAATTCAACATGACTTTTTATTTGCAATTAAATTGTTATTTTCGGTCAATGATTTTTATTTATTATAAATAAAAATGCCTCGATATTATAATTATCAGATTTTTTATCAAAAATAATGGAGTTATTGAACCCAACAATTTTCTTTGGATATTGCTGTTATTATTTGGAAAATTAAACTAGATTATAGAGAGATTCGCAATTGTTAAGTGAAAAAATCAAACTTGGATACACATTAGTGGGGGCAGTTAAGGAATAATAATAAAACTTTTTACTATCTAATAATTTTTGCAACAACAAATTCACCCTTGATCGTATTCATTCCCATGCTCCCCATTTAATGTTAGTTGCATTATATATAATTTTTATATTAACCATCATTTTTGTCACCTAAAAAATTATACTTTCAATGACTTAAACAAAAAAGACTAAAAACTATTTTAATGTTATGCAACAACTACAAGCGTGTAAAAACAATAAAAGAACAACAATAAAAATTTAAATAGTTTCTGTAGAAATATGAGCTATATCACAATAATGTCTACAGGAAAACTCTTTTTTTAAGTAACGCTTTTCAAAACCACTTGATGATTTGGTTTAAATCATACTATTTTTTTTGCTTGAAGTAACCTTAAGTCAAACTTTTAACATTGTTTTTTAAAGTTTGTACCTAGAAGCAGGGGCGGCTCGTAACCAACATTTTGGGGGTTCACAGTAGCAGAATATAGATCTCGATACAGATGTAGGTAAAAAACTGTTGGTGTTTTAGAAAGGTATATTATAAACTTTCTAAAACACTGAAAGTTTTTTTCATACATCTGTTTGATATCTATATTCTGTTATTGTGAACTCCCAAAATTTTGGCCACTGCCTACAAGTAATAAGTTTGTTGAACTAAAAATGCTATGATATAAATAACAATAATAATAGTTTTTGGTATAATAAGTAACAATAATGTTGAGTGATTTACGAGTAATATTATTAAATTAAATTTTTTCAAATATTTTTATTCCTCAAAAAATATCACAAATGTCGGTTCGGTTGTTCATTGCCTTGCCATGTATTTGTGAAATATTTAATACCGATTTTTCTTCAACCAGTTCACTGCAGACTCCAAATGCCTCGTTTTCCAGCCAATACGGATTTTTATTCTATCGACGGTACTCTGAAGGACGGCAGATACAGTTTTCAGATCATTCTGGTGAATTTTGTAGAAAGTAGTGAGCTAAAAATGAGGACATGGCATTAGTGTTCAAAACACCTATATTATTTTTGGTAAATATACAGGGTGTTTGACAATACAGTACCAAAAACTAATTGTTTAGAAAAGCTTAATATAAGTTACCTGTAAACTTCCCATTTTACATTCTACTACAGGGCGATAAAGTGAATTTCATAAATACATAATTTTCTAAATATCTTATTGTTTTAATTATTATTTATTATCTTAATTATTTTATGTTGTTTCTCAATTAGATTTCAGTATTACTATTATACCTATACATGTATTATTCACAAAGAGAGCTGGCACAACAGCCTCATAGCAAACGCCGAATACACAGTTGTCACAGTTTTCAAACTGCAAAAATAAAATGCCCTATTGTAATTTATTATCGTACGACCGTCCTTGGAAAACCGATCTACAGTTCATCAAATTTCTAGAGGCTTTCGACGGCTAGACAGAGAAAGCACTACTGACAGGCATCCCGACGGATTTACGCAATGAAAGTACACTCTGCGCATCAAGTATTTCACTATTTCATTCAGACGTAAATGTCAGATGTAAATTTCGCTAAAACATTTCTTTTATTTTCGTTTGTGTTTTTTGTTCATTACAGTTTAATAGAACCTAAGTATGGAGTTTAATAGCAAATTAAGAGGCCGCGTGATTAACAGTCAATCTCGCGAAATAATAGCCAATGTTATAGAGTTTATGAGAAGAGAAGGAAACTTTAATTCACCTTCAATACCATTTAAAAATGTAAATGATCGTGTTGCTGCAGCCACAGGAGTATCTAAAAACACTGTCGTCCGCATTTCTGGAGAGAAAAAAGAATCGATAACCGTGAGATATCGGAATTTTCATCACCAAGAAAAACCATTAAAAAACCAAAAACAGTTAATGATGATGAAGCTGCACAAGAATCAAATTTTATTTTTTTATTATTAGATAGCTATTTTTGTTTCTGAGTTGTGTTCATTTACAGGCTCAATTTTTTTCCGTTTCTCCTTTTTGATTTTATATGGGGTTTCAAGTTGTTTTTGACTTATTTCGACGTAAATCACAACAACACACTTTTTTAATAAAGCAAACAAGAGTGTTAAGAGGTATATGTACGTGTAAACTACAATTACAAAAAATTGATATGAAACCCATGAAACCACCAACAAAAATGTAAAGCTAGCTTCCGTACTAGAACATGGTGTCATTCGTCGAGATAGTTTATCGTTTTGTTTAATAGATCAAGAAATATAAATATTCCCCTGTTATTTTTTATAAAATTATAAGAGAAATAAATTTTTTTCTAAATAGTATAGTTTATTATTTTGTAGAAAAACAAAATTTCGAAAATTTTAGTAATGTTTCAGAAACAACCGTTATTAATAATAGGTACCACTTTCCTTAATGAGGTAGAAATAAAATATAAACTATTTCCACGATTTACAAAGGCCTACAAAAAAATTATAGGTATTTTCCGCTATCCTATAAAATTTATATTTTCTGACTCAATTTCAAAAGGTTGAAGGAATTCCAAAACACCTTTTTTGGCATAATAATTATTTTCAATTCTACATACTATCTTTAGCTGCTTTTAAAAACGTTCTAAGAAAGTCCAATCAGACCAATTTAATCCCTAAACTATTCCACACTTTTAAAATTTAATTACCTAAAAATATTAAAAACTATTTAAAATAACGTTTAGCAGACTGTACAATAGCTATCTTAGTCACACGTAGCGCGTTCTCTGTCTGGGCGTCGAACACCTCTAGAAATTTGATGAACTGTACGTACCTAATACGCTGGACTTAATTTATGGTCGGCAACTCTGTTCCCACAATATATCCCCTGTAGTAATGTCACTGGGATTCAAGAAATGGCTTTGAGTTACGCTGCGGCCAGGCGCAGAGTCACATGGCGCTAGTATTGTTTTGAATTTTGACACGTCTGACATCGGCACGTTCATTGGTTAAAGGCGAAGCGAAGCGTAAAATGCTACAAAATTTATACCATTTATTGATATTAATTTTGTTTCAGCGATATTTATTGTGATTTGTATTGTTGCATTAAGGGCTTATTTATTTAATATGGAAAGCAAAACGTACGTACAACAAACTCAACAAAAAATAGAATTCAAGGAGGGATGCCCATGGCTGTCATCCAAGGCTCCCCGTTCTAGATAATACTTTTAAATTAGGAAAAGCCTTTAAAATTTAAGTATAAAAATTTTCTGTTTCAGTTTTCCCTACTTTTAATGTAGGTGCCAATTTTGACGTGTGTCATCATTTTTCATATTTTTCAGTCAATAACCTCTAATATTATAATTTTACTAGTATCTTATGCTTTTCTATAGACACGATTCAAGGAGTAGGGAGTTCTATGGCTGTCCTCCAAGACCTAGATAATAGTTTTCCAGTTGAAACAGCTTTTAAAATTCAACTATAATAATTTACAGTTTCAGTTTTTCTCCTTTTTCGAAGTAGCTGTTCATTTAAACTACAAATTTTTATTTCACTTGTTGATTTTAGCATACAGTATCGGCTATTGAACACTTTCCAGTACGCTTTGCTAGCATCGAAGTGAACACTATAGAGTATTAGTGCGATCAGGAAACAAATAATATGAATGTTGATTTATGTGCTGTGTAAATGAACAGGCACACGGCGCGATACATCCACACGCAGCCGGCTGGCTACGTTTATAGTATTCCATTTCTTCTCGCACTTCTCTTTGTAGTTTTCACTTGGACATTAGCAAAATGTATTGTAAAACATTCGATAGCAGACACTGTATTATCACAAACATCTCGTAATAATTAACAAATGATTTAATTTAATATAGGCTTTTTTTTTCAGTAAAATGGATATGGCTAGAGTTTATCCTCGACTTTAAAATAAATTATATAATTTTTCAAATAAAATATTTTATACAATTTTCTTTAATACCAGAGTCATTTTTTTTCAGATCTAGCCTCTATAGGTAAAAAAATAAGTGATTCAGGTAAAATTGAAAATTATATTACATGTTCTTTTCAATGTGTTGTTAATCCAAACGCTGCTCTTATTGTAATAGCTAACAATAAAAAAATCGTAATATTTTTAACTATCAAAATAAAAATAGCTCCTGGATTTACAGCTCGTTTCACGGAACAGACAATATACTTCTCAATTATTCACTATTTTAGCGGGAAATTTTCGGCTTAAAATTATATTTGAATTTACCACCATATCGAGAGAGACTATGGTGCAGACAATGAGTTATGGTACAGGTGTACTATTTGTGGGTTATGGACACACTCCCAATGTTCTGGAAAGGACTCGCCGACAGCTTATATTTGTGACCATTGCGTTTATGTTGACCAGTAATGCCCGGAGACATGACCGGTTTAAATTAATATTAGATTAGAGTTTTTTCCTGTGGTTTAAGAGGAGTATTTACTTGGCTTTAGAGCAGAGCATGCAAGGGTTTCGTAGTACCCCACTTTTAAAGTTTATTTTTGACATATTTTAAAAGAAAAAAATATGTGCCTGTAGGTAAAGGTTAAATCTGTGCTCCTCCGGAAACACTTTTTCAAAATTTCAATTTGTTTTTTCTAAAAAAAAAAAAACACAAAACTCGACTTTTTTGATCCATTTTCTCAATTTTTTTTAGAAAAAACTAAATTGAATTTTGAAAAAGTGGTTCCAGAGGAGCCTAGATTTAACCTTTATCTACACGTACATATTTTTTTCTTTTAAAAAATACTTAAAAATAAATTTTAAAAATGGGGTACTACGAAACCCTTACATTGCAAGATTTTTCGTCTGGCAAGTGGCGCCTCTGTTAGATTTTTAAGAAATTAATATTTGTGAATGAAAACAATTTACAAAATATTTTACTGATGTTTTACGAGGGATAATTAAAGTTTACATATTTGTAGGTACACCTTATTGTTTTACGTAAATCATTTCTGTAATACTAATATAGACATATTTATATAATATGCAATGTGTTTCATAGTACACCAATTTTACGGATTATTTTTTATTTTTTGAAAAATTATGTAAGTACAGGTAAAGGAGTCACTTTTTGAATATTTGAATCGGTTTATTTTTAGAAAATGTAAGAAGATATCTTTCTATCGAAAAAAAAAAAAAAAAAAAAAATACAAATCAAAATGCTAGAAGAGAACAATATATGTTTTTAATTTTTACAGGAACATTTATTTTTCTCAATAAAAATTAAAAAAATACGTTAAAAGCTTTTTCGTCTAGAGGGCGACACCAACAAAATGTATATCCTTTTCTACTGTTTACAAGTGATAAACGTACGCAAGTGATTTGAATTTATTTTGTTTTATGTCTGTACACTTTGTTATTTTTACATACAGTAATTTCGCTCAATTATTTTAAATAAATTTTATCATTTATTTATTAAAAAAATATATCCGAAATTAAAAGGTATACAATGAGATTTGAATTATAAATTAACTTTTATATTGCACGGGAATTTTTTTTAATGAATACATCTTCGAGTTAAGAATAATAAATTCCAGCATGTTAACAACTCTTTAAGCTGTTAAAGTAATGTATATTTTTTCGAACTTAGTAAATATTTTTTTTTGCTTTCGAGCGTGGGCTTTGATCTCTCACACTCTTTGATGCGCGTTGCAAAAGAAAATTTTCTAAAAAGTTTGATAATTGATAATGTCTATAGATGAGAAAAAAATGAATGTGACAAGAGATCAAGCTGATTGTGGATTGTAGCAAAATGTAAGACGAAAACGAGTCACTGTTTCAAAATTTGGAGCCATTTGTAAAAAAAGGAAAGGCATTTTTTAAACAATCTCATAATCTTTTATTTTTTGCTAAAGCCTTTTTATATGACATGGATAATAAATCCAGAGGAAAATAAGATTTGGAAATTTATTAGCAAGAAAAAGTTTTTATGTGTGGACTTTTATTGATTCCGAATTTGATTATGTTCCTGCCAGTCCAGATGGAATTTAAAACAAAAAACTCTATGAT